ATTTAGGTATACACAATACAAAATCATTAAGCATTCAAAAGCAATAGCATCACAAATCATTAAACATCAGCGTCAATACATCACTACATCAATATAACAAATCCATCAGGTCTCATCAATGAAATCAGAATCCAAACTTGTTATCCGATATTCTGTGTTCCGATAGTCAGTCAATCAATCACACTGCTTAGTCAAATGCCTGTTCAAACAGCCAGGTCTTTACTTTCCTCCGGAATGCCAGCAAGGAGGGGGTCGATCTAATATCTGCAGGAAGGGCATTCCATAGCCGAGGGGGCACCACTGAGAAGGCCCTGTCTCTCATCCCCACCAGGCGTGCTTGTGAAGCAGGGCCTCCCCAGACGATCTTAATGTCCTAACTGGTTCATAGGAGGAAACGCATTCGGACAGGTAGGTCGGGCCAGAACCGTTTAGGGCTTTAAAGGCTAAAGCCAGCACTTTGAATTGTGCCCGGTAGCAAATTGGCAGCCAGTGGAGCTGGCGCAGCAGTGGAGTGGTGTGCTCCCTGAGTGCCGCTCCTGTTAGCATCCTGGCTGCCGATCGTTGGACCATTTGAAGCTTCCGAGCAGTCTTCAGAGGCAACCCCACGTAGAGAGCGTTGCAGTAGTCTAAATGGGATATGACTAGAGCATGGACTACTGTGGCCAAGTCAGGCTTCCCAAGGTACGGGCGCAGCTGGCGCACAAGTTTTAACTATAGAGAGAAGCACGTCGCAGTCTTATTTTTTATAGTGTCTGGGCAGATGGCAGTTTTTGCATAGGTTGCGTTTTTTTCCGCCTGAGCTAAGCCTGCACGGTCATAAAGATTTTAGTTTCGTTGGTCTGTTGCAGTGAAGACTGCTTCTGGACTGAAAGTCAAGTGAGGGAGTGGGGCCCCATTCCCTCAGCCTTTGCAGTCCCCTGCTCTTTGGTTCACGTGTGTGCGCGCGTGGTCCAGCAGCTGCTTTTGGGTCTGCACGGCTGTGCAGAACCCAGCAACACCCCGAGCTGAGGATTCCTTAGAGAATAGGCAGCAATATTTGGCCACAGTCAATTTCTTAAGACATTTTGCTTCTTGGAGAGGCCCAGCACAGTGTATACTCAGGGCACTTGGGGAACAAGAAACAGATGAGCGAGAACGCAGCTCTCAGAAAGTAATGTCCTACAGTCTTTGTTTAATAGATTTAAGTTCCATGTCAAAACCCAGATGAGATAAGAGGGATGAAGAAGAGTTGATATAAGAAGCTTTTTGAGAGTTAAGCTTGAACTAGTTGCTAGTGTAATTGTCCTGGGCGAGATGATGATTCAGACCTGAGCCCAGTCTGAAAACACTGATTTTAAGTCAATTTTATGGGCCCACCACCAAGCTCTTGTTGACAGGGGGGATTTCCCCAGATTCTACAGCAAGACACAGGATGGCACAAATCTGGGGAACTGGAAGAGGGCCCTCAAGAACTGTGAGGTGAAACTTCAGGAGAAAATGCTGCTAGAACATGGCCATATAGCCTGGAAATCATACAACACCCAAACGTCCTTTGAGGACATTTAATAGAATACCAAGTTTGCAAACTTTGTGTCTTGTTTGTTTGTTTGTTTGTTTGTTTTTAAAGCAATACAACTGTTTTGGTTCGCTCCTGACATGATAAAGAAATACACAACACCCAGGAGATTCCAAGTGTGAAAACCTTTGACAATACATATTTGAGAAATGCAGTATTGTGAAGTTCTACTGTGGTGGAAAGATGTATTTCCTACACAAAGATGCATTGCATTTCTTCAAAATTCAAAACTGGTGTGTAATTGTTTGTCATGAGGAAATCCCAGTGATAATAACTTTAATGTCAGAGATTTGCAAATAAATATTAGATATCAAAATAGAGCAATACCAGCAACTGCCAAATGGCTATGACACTTCCTCCCACTCCTCTTTTGTGACTGGCATGTTACTACACCATCATTTTGTAGCCTAAGGGCCTCAGTAATTCCTAGCCTTCTCAACTGAGTCATGAAGTTTTACAATCCTAGGCAGATGGATGGATTGGCAAGCCATTACCCTTTCACCTTATTTTCCATCTTCATCGCTATGATACTTCATCTTGTTGATGGGAAGCTTCCCACCGGAGTGGAAATCATCTATCGGACAGATGGCAAGCTATTTAACCTCAGCAGACTGAAAGCCAAAACCAAGGTTACAACAACATCTGTTATAGAACTCCAGTATGCTGATGACAACGTCATCTGTGCGCATTCAGAAGAAGATCTACAAGCCACTCTAAACACCTTTGCAGAAGCATAAGAGAAGCTTGGCCTCTCATTGAACATTGAGAATGCCAAAGTGCTCTTCCAGCAGCACCAGCCAATCCCTCTGCAATGCCAGAAATACAGCTTAATGGTGTAACATTAGAAAATATTGACCATTTCCGCTACCTTGGCAGCCACCTCTCCACAAAAGTCAACAATTGACACTGAAATATAACACTGAGCGCTGAGAGTGCAGCCTTTTTCCAAATGAAGCACAGAATGTTTGAGGACCAGGACATACCAAGGTGCTTGTTTATAAAGCTATTGTCCTCCCAACCCTGCTATATGCCTGTGAAACGTGGACTATCTACAGAAGTCACATGTAACTCCTGGAACGATTCCATCAGTGTTGCCTCCGAAAAATCCTGCAAATCTCTTGTGAAGACAGGTAGACAAATGCAGCATGCTGGAAGAAGCAAAGACCACCAACATTGAAGCAATGGTCCTCCGTCATCAACTCCGCTGGACCGGCCATGTTGTCCGAATGCCCCATCACCATCTCTGAAAGCAGTTACTCTACTCTGAACTCAAGAATGGAAAATGGAATGTTGGAAGATAGGAAAAGAGATTTAAAGATAGGCTCAAAGCCAACCTCAAAAACTGTGGCATAGACACCAAGCTGGAGGTCAGCTGTGACCAGCAGTGTTGCAGAATTTGAAGAGGCACAAATGGAGGATAAAAGAGAGAAATGTGCCAAGAGGAAGGCTCATCAAGCCAAGCCTGGAAACCAATACCCCCACTGCAGGAGAACATGCAGGTCAAGAATCAACCAATTCCTACGCCATGTCTGCAATCACACAATTGTACTGTTTTGGTGATCCATGGCCCCCTGAGCTAACTCTTCCTTCTTGCTATCCCTGCTCTCCTATCCACATAAACTCCGCTCAGTGCATGTCTCCCTTCTGATTATTTTAATTTGTGTTTGTTTTTGCAGTGATTGTTTAATTATGGTAAAATTATAAAGAAATAGAAAGGAAAACAGAGTAAAAGCAACCTCAGCCTTGGGAGTAGTGAGGAGGGGAGGCGGAAAGAAAGGGAGAGATGGAGAATGACACCCATTCTTGGCGTGTGACTGCTAGAATATTGGGGCTGCATTGGAAGAGACCAATTGAAACAGATACAGTAGTGGAAAAGCAGTGATACTGTGAACGATTGACAGGTTTTTCCTGTCAATGGAAAGGTATATTCCACTAACAACTGAAAAGCAAAGCAACAGTAAGCGAGGCATGACACTTGCTTCAAATTACTCACCAGAGACACTATTTAGTGAATGGTTTTTTTTAAAAAAAAAACTTTTCATTCGTTTTATTGCATTTTGATTTATTTGTTTTAATAATTGTACACACTTAATTTCATTTAATATTTATAGTTTCTATGTTTTAATTGTATTTTTTTTAAGGTGAGCAACTTTGGATTTCAATCCTGGGGGAGGGAACAGAGTGGTAGTCATAGTCGTCGTCGTCATCATCATCATCATCATCATCATGGCAGTGGGTGCTTATAATAATAATAATAATAATAATAATAATAATAATAATAATAAGTTTTGGAACACAATACACCAGACATCACGACTGTGGAAAAGAAAAAAAAGTCTGGATTATTGATGTCACCATACCAGGTGACAGCCGCATTGAGGAAAAACAACAGGAAAAATTCAGCCGCTATCAAGACCTCAAAATCAAACTGCAAAGGCTCTGCCATAAACCAGTACAGATGGTCCCAGTGGTCATCGGCACACTGGGTGTCGTGCCAAAAGATCTCAGTCGGCATTTGGAAACAATAAACATCAACAAAATCACGATCTGTCAATTGCAAAAGGCCACCTTACTTGGATCTGCGTGCATCATTTGAAATACATGTGCTACTCTGCTGCTGAGTATGCATGCCCAGTGTGGAACACATCTCACCATACTAAAACAGTGGATGTGGCTCTTAATGAGACATGCCGCATTATCACGGGGAGAAATTACACTGGAGAAATTACACTGCTTAGCCGGTATTGCACCACCTGACATCTGCTGGGAAGTAGCAGCCAATAGTGAAAGGACCAAGGTAGAGACATCCCCAGCTCATCCCCTGTTTGGCTATCAGCCAGCACATCAACGACTTAAATCTAGAAATAGTTTTCTAAGATCTACAGAGACACTCGCTGGAGCACCTCAGCAAGCGAGAGTCCAAAAGTGGCAGGCACAAACCCAGAACCTCAACCAATGGCTGATACAAAATGAGAGACTCCCCCCTGGGCACACAGAAAACTGGGCGACTTGGAAGGCCCTAAACAGACTGCGCTCTGGCACCACAAGATGGAGAGCCAACCTCAAGAAATGGGGCTACAAAGTGGAATCCTTGACATGCGAGTGCGTAGAAGAGCAAACCACTGACCACCTGCTGCAATGCAACCTGAGCCCTGCCACATGCACAATGGAGGACCTTCTTGCAGCAACACCAGAAGCACTCCAAGTGGCCAGATACTGGTCAAAGGACATTTAATCAACTACCAAATTGACAAATTTTGTATTTTGTCTGTTTGTTTGCTTTGTTCTGTTAGAAATGTAATATAATTGACTGGTTGCCCTGACATGACAAATAAAATAAATATTCCCTCAATGAAATGTAGGCCCCAGGTTTATGCAGAGCCAGGCTTAGATATCAAATACCCTTTCCCTAGCCCCTTTCCCAACGTGTACAATATTTTCTTACTTGGTCCATCTGGAGTGGATTCCTCTGGAGTCTTCTTCAGGGACAAGGCACCAACGCTCTTGCGGTCACGGTCGGCATTCTAATAAGGAAAGAACAAATGCATGAAAGAAGCTCATCTGCTTGTCTGCTTAGTGAACATAAGAGATACCCTCCTAAACTCAAGGGTCAATATTAGAGGAATACAGCATTCGCTACCTCAACTCAAGCTGCTTCTTTCAAGAGAAGCATCAGGATCTCACTAAGGGTGCATTTAGATTAATGAAAATGTCAGAAAGTCCCAGATAGTTCTTCCTTCTTTCTCCATAAACTGAGAATACTGGAATCAGATTGAAACCAGCCTCTGCATCCAGGGCTTCCTATCTAATAACCTACATATTGAAATGGTTTTCCTTGTCTGCCAGTTTCACACCAACCTAAGTGGTCAGTGTAGATTTATTTATTTACCACATTTATATACCACCCCTCTCAGCCCAGAGGCGACTCGGAGTGGTTCACAACTGGCAACAATTTGATGCCTCAACAATTATAACAAATAAAACAATCATAAAATACTGTTTAAAACATTAGCATACAATGTAAGAATATAAAAAACCATTCACAGCCTTAAATACATTATCGTGAGCATCTCCATGTCAAGTCATTAGTCAATTGCGTCGTCAAGTGGTTCCATGATTTTGTATAACTATGCCATATTTGGGAAGGCCTTCTCAAAAAGCCAGGTTTCATCTTTCTTTAAAAGGTCAGGAGGGAGGGGACGATCTTATATCCATAAGAAGGGCATTCCACAGTCAGGGGGCCACCACTGAGAAGGCCCTGTCTCTCATCCCCGCCAAACACATCTGCGAGGAAGGTGGGACCGAGAGCAGGGCCTCCCCAGAAGATCTTAACATCCTAGATGGTTCATAAGGAGACATACGTTCGGATAGGTAAGTTGGACCAAAACCGTTTAGGGCTTTATGGGCTAAAGTCAGCACTTTGAATTGTGCCCAGAAGCAAACTGGCAGCCAGTGGAGCTGGTGCACCAGAGGAGTTGTGTGCTCCCTGAGCATCAATCCTGTTAACAACCTGGCTGCTGCTGCGCGTTGGACCATTTACAGCTTTTGAACATTCTTCGAAGGCAACCCCATGTAGATGTAACCAGAGTGTGGACTGCCGTGGCCAAGTCAGACTTCCCAAGGTACGGGCACAGCTGGCACACAAGTTTTAACTGTGCAAAGGCTCCCCTGGTCACCACCAAAACCTGGGGTTCCAGGCTCAGCTATGAGTCCAGGTTCACACCCAGGCTGCGAGCCTGCATCTTCAGGGGGAGTGTAACCCCATCCAACACAGGTTGTAAACCTATTTATTTAAAGTATTTATATTCTGCCCTTCTCACCCCGCAGGGGACTCAGGGCGGATTACAATGCACATATACATGGCAAACATTCAGTGCCATTAGACATACAACATATATAGGCAGACACAGAGGCAATTTATCATTCAAACTTTCTGGCTTCATGAGGGTATGCTCAATTCTGGCCACAGGGGGAGCTGCCACTTCACCATCCACTTGTGATACCGAGTCCTTGATGGAGTACTTCCTCATTCTTATGCACACTGCTGGAAGGTTTTATGGTGCCGTAAATTAGCTAAATTTGCTTCCCCAAAGTGGTACCTAAATTTCCTACTTGACAGATGCAACTGTCTTTCAGGCTGCATAGGTCAACAGCAAGCTAGACTGTTAATAGTCAGGAGCTCACTCCGACCCGGGCTGGCTTCGAATTCATGACCTCTCAGTCAGTAGTGATTTAATGCAGCTGACTACTAACTAGCTGCACCACGGATATGTCCCAAGTTAACAGTTTCAGAGGCTGGAAAGCCAGCCTGCAGGCCTCTTTGCAACTATTGGCCTAGAGAGCAGCTCTTTGGGTTTAGAGCCCGCCCCTTCTCCTGGGCTTGAGATTTCCATTTTGGAATCTCCCCTGCCTCCTTCAGTTTAGAGGAAAGACTTCAGACGTGCTGATGATCAGGCAGGTAGCTCTGGGAAAACCATTGCAAAAACTATATTGTATATTGTATATTAAGCTATATTAAGACTATTGAGATATTAAGATATTAATCTATATTGAGATATTATAGATAGATATTGAGTTATAGCTGATTGAGATACTACAGATAGATAAGCTTAACTGAGAAGATTGAGTTATATAGTTATAGAGAGAGATTTCACTGTTTTGTCTCCAGAACTAACCTTAAGCTATAGATAGGGAAAAAAAACTGCTTTTTTTCTAACCATGGCAGCTTATGGTTGGGTGAAAAGATTTCAGGATCTTCTCTGCCTTCTGGGGAAAAGTTAACTCTGACTGGAGAAAAAAAGAAAGAATATCTCTGTGGTTTCATCTATTGACTGTTTGTTTGTAACTTTGATAAGCTGTGCCAAGTTTGCAAGGACTTTGAATAAATAAATATCCTTTTTGATGTTTAAAACCAGTAATAGCCTCAGTTGCTGAGTATCTCAAGCTTCTCTAGAAAGACACCCGCAGTTCGCTCAGACATAGAGAGAAGCACGTCGCAGTTTTATTTATATAGTGTCTGGGTGGACGGCACAGATACAATGTTCAATAGCAGCAAATGCTACTGGGAAGTCCAGCAGAGCCAAAAGGGACACTCTCCCTCTATTCAGTTCTCATCAACCAAGGCAACCAAAGTTGTCTCCAGGCTGGAAGCCAGAATGAAATGAATCTAGATAATCTGCCTTGTCCAGAAATCCCTGGAGTTGAAAAGCCACCACATGTTCCATATTCAAATATTTAGCTCCAAATATCCCAACAAGGGCTGGAGTCGGAAAGAAATTGCTTCAGATATACTTCTTCCCCTTTGAAGATAATTCCTCATGCAAAGCCAAAGAGTTCCATGTTACTGACAAACTTTCACAAACACCAAAAGGGACTTATATGAAGAAATGAGCAAAGAATTCCTAAGTAGGACCAAAATGTGATTGGAATGGAAAATAGTCATAAAAATTATTAGGGGACTAGTATAATAGCATGACTAAATGTAAAAATCCCCCTTTGCACATTCACCGGAATTGTTTTTATTAAACCTAATTAGTTTTGCCTCCTTAAAAGGAATTAATAATAGTGCCTAAGTAAGCCTCATCCCACTGGGCCCTTTGCAGCTACATGGTTTAGATGTAACCCATCAACCTCATCCCTGGGGTGGATCCATTTGCCCCCCGTGTTAATATGTAATCGCTTCAGTCGTAACGTGCAATTAAAACATTGCTGTGCCCTGTAGAACGAGCCCTGGCAAATCAACCCGCTTCCGTCAACTACACTACAAGGCCTTGGTGTCTAAAAGGGCAAACACTGCCTATTAATTTTGATCCTGTTAATTAATCCACATACTTTGAATTCTAATTAGCTACATTTTCAGTGGCTGCGGTATTCAGAAGCTTGCTCCCCTTCCCTAAAAAAATATGGAAACCACACACATTTCACGGAGTGAAGATTAATGGTGCCAGACCAAGGCCATGCTGAGCAGATGACTCATCTGACTCATCATTGAGTGCAAGTTGGGGAAGAGGAGGCAATTTTGCATAAAGTTATTGGGCCATATAAAATCATGCATGGTGGGAATGGAAGTGAATTTTCACTCTACCACAATACTAGAATTCAGGGTTCTTCAAAAAAACAAAAGCAATGGAGTGTCGAAGGCTTTCATGGCTGGAATCACTGGGTTGTTGTAGTTTTTTTGGGCTATATGGCCATGGTCTAGAGCAGTGGTTCTCAACCTGGGGTCCCCAGATGTTTTTGGCCTTCAACTCCCAAAAATCCTAACAGCTGGTAAACTGGCTGGGATTTCTGGGAGTTGTAGGCCAAAAACATCTGGGGACCCCAGGTTGAGAACCACTGGTCTAGAGGCATTCTCTCCTGACATTTTGCCTGCATCTATGGCAAGCATCCTCAGAGGTAGTGAGGTCTAGACCTCACTACCTCTGAGGATGCTTGCCAAAGATGCAGGCGAAACGTCAGGAGAGAATGCCTCTAGACCATGGCCATATAGCCCGAAAAAACTACAACAATCCAAAGCAATTGAGGTTTTGGAAGAGATAACAGGGTCCACATTTTTTCGGCTAGTTTGTTGTTGTTTATTTGTTTAGTTGCTTCCAACTCTTCGTGACCTCCTGGACCAGCCCACGCCAGAGCTCTCTATCGGCCGTGGCCACCCCCAGCTCCTTCAGAGTCAAGTCAGTCACGTTAAGGATATCATCTGTTCATCTTGCCCTTAGTCAGCCCCTCTTCCTTTTTCCTTCCATTTCCCCCAGCATCATTATCTTCTCTAAGCTTTTCTGGCTTCTCATGATGTGGCCAAAGTACTTCATCTTTGCCCCTAATATCCTCCCCTCCTATTATCAGTCAGGCTTTATTTCCTGATGTATGGACTGGCTGGATCTTCTCACGGTCCAAGGCACTCTAAGAATTTTCCTCCAGCTTCTTCCTCTTCTTCTTCTTAGGCGATCCCTCGCTTTCCAAGGATGATTGTCTTCCAGTGTTCTTGTGGGTCCGTATGTGGCTGTGGAGCCCTATTCTTGCTCTGCATCTTCTTCCGCAGTGAGGGCATTGGTTTCCAGGTGGAAGGCGGTCTCGGTCAGGGTTGGCTTGACGCGCCTTCCTCTTGGCACGCTTCTCCCTTTCGCCCTCCATTCGTGCCTCTTCAAATTCTGCAGTACTGCTGGTCACAGCTGACCTCCAGCAGGAGCGGCCAAGGGCCAGGGCTTCCCAGTTCTCAGTGTCTCCAGCACCAGCTTCCTCCAGCACCACAGTTTCCTCCAGCACCACAGTTCAAAAGCCTCTATCTTCCTTTGCTCAGTCTTCGATCAGTCTTCCCTATCCATAGGTTACTATGGAGAATTCCATTGGTTTAACTATGCGGATCTTGGTTGTCAGTGTGATGTCTCTACTCTTCACTATTTTATCGAGATTGGACATTGCTCTCCTAACAAGAAGTAAATGTCTTCTGATTTCCTGGCTGCAGTCTGCATCTGTGGTAATCTTCTCACCTAGGAATACAAAGCCTGTATTGTCGAAGGCTTTCATGGCTGGAATCACTGTGTTGTTGTAGGTATTTCGGGGTATATGGCCATGTTCTAGAAGCATTCTCTCCTGACGTTTTGCCTGCATCTATGGTACGCATCCTCAGAGGTTGTGAGGATGCTTGCCAAGCATTCTCTCCTGATGTTTCGCCTGCATCTATGGCAAGCATCCTCTGAGGATGCTTGCCATAGATGCAGGTGAAACATCAGGAGAGAATGCTTCTAGTGCATGGCCATATAGCCCGAAAAACCTACAACAACCCATACACAAAACTGGTGAAGATTCTCCTTCCATATACTCTCCTTCTCTTTTTCCAGGATTTGAATGGAGCTACAGAGAGCAAGGCATTGTCACTCAGCACAGAAAAACTGATTTTAAACCATGTTGATAAAATCAGATACAGTAATTAGGAGGTTTCAACAGGAAGGACCATGAAAATTGCCCTTAAGGAACATGCTGTTCTTGTTTTGGTGACTCAGACTCCAGTCTATCTAAGTGGCAGTCTTTGATCCTTGCAGTGAATCTTGACTCTCTCTCAAAAAAAAACAAACCTAGAAGTGTTTTCTCTTCCACCGCTGGAACCTGAAAGGAGTGCTGTGCTGGAAGCTAGCATGTAATATCTCCTATTTTCCCTAGAAACCTCACTGCAGTACTGATGCACTAGAGATAAAAAAAATGCAGTTGAGAATTGAAAATGGTTTGAGTAATGGCCCACTTCCCAGGTGTCTTATCTATCACTTCACAGGTGGAGACAAAAAACTTAGGTTGCAGCTGTTTTCAGGAGACAAAAGCAAAAGGAGTCCTTCAAATATGGCTCTTTACCCATATTCCAACTGATTTCCAGATATAAGATACTAGTTGGAACGTGCTGGGAGATTACAGTAACAGCGATGTCTGTGTAAAGAGGTATCGCAAACCTATTTCGACAACTAGTTCCCTTTCACCCTGTGCAATAAATCACTTTAAAAGCTCAGTGAGTGCAGAAAGACACTTCCAACACATAACCAAGAATAGCAACTGGAACGGATACTTGTACATCTTCTTTCTTTTTGCATCGTTCCAAGTTGTTCACTTAAGTACAGCAGTAGAACATCACACTTTACTAGCATTGAAGAGGTTCTTAGCTGTTGTCTTTGCATTATATGCAATATACAGTTAACAAATGAGGTCACAGTGGCAAGGAGAAACTGATTCCCACTACTTCTGGGAAATCCCAAGTGCTTCCTAACTCAAATTTAATGATAAGACATTTTCTCTCTGTCCTGTAACCCCAGACACACAGTGGCAGCCTGTGGTCCAAACAAGGGGAGTGCCCCAACCCAAAATGATGGTGCAAATTTCCACAACCACCACCCTTTTTAGCTATTGGGCTAATGATTTATATCATCAATACTAGGAAAGATTCAAAGGTGCAAAGATTACGGCAGATGCAGACTGTAGCCAGGAAATCAGAAGACGCTTACTTCTTGGGAGGAGAGCAATGTTCAGTCTCGATAAAATAATAAAGGGTAGAGACATCACACTGGCAACAAAGATCCGCATAGTCAAAGCCATGTGTATTCCCTGTAGTAACCTACGGATGTGAGAGCTGGACCTTAGGGAAGGCTGAGCGAAGGAGATAGATGCTTTTGAACTGTGGTGTTGGAGGAAAGTTCTGAGAGTGCCTTGGACTGCGAGAAGATCCAACCAGTCCATCCTCCAGGAAATAAAGCCCGACTGCTCATTGAAGGGAAGGATACTAGAAACAAAGTTGAAGTACTTTGGCCACATCATGAGGAGACAGCAAAGCCTAGAGAAGACAATTATGCTGGGGAAAGTGGAAGGCAAAAGGAAGAGGGGCCGACCAAGGGCAAGATGGATGGATGGCATCCTTGAAGTGACTGGACTGACCTTGAAGGAGCTGGGGGGGTGACAGCCGACAGGGAGCTCTGGCGTGGGCTGGTCCATGAGGTCACGAAGAGTCGGAGACGACTGAACGAATGAACAACAACAAAGGAATGATTCTGGAGCAAATCATTAAATAGCATGGGGAACAAAACAGAAACTTGCGGGACCCCACAGGTCAATGACAAGGGGTCCGAGCAGGTGTCCCCCAGCTTCACCAACTGGGAACAACCCTCCAGGAAGGACCGGAGCCACAGCAGAGATGGTAGGAAGTCATTATCCCACACAAAAAGAATGACTGATGAACATCTGCGAACCATCAGAGATGGACAAAGAGACTCTGCTAATTAAAGGGAAATCTTTGAGCATCTTCAAGAAAGATTGGGACTTGATTATCAGTTTTTAACAACAACAACAACAACAACAACAGGGGTAAATGTCAGTTGTTGGATTTATGAATTTAGAAGAGTGTTGTCAAAAGCAGTGTGAAGTGCTTACAATTAGACCCAACTCTGTTTGTTGATTTGTTTGTTAGAATACTTTGTGTATCTAGATAGGTGTGTTTTATTGGACTGTTTTTTTTATTTTTTTAGTTGGTTGTGGTGGCCACTCAGTGAGCTGTATAATTTGAGTGTGTGTGCACACACCACACACACACACACACATACACACACATATATATATGAATGACTGTGTTTCTCTTTTTCCTAATTAAAAATGTGTTTTTGAAAAGAGAATTTAGATGGATCAAAAAATGGAAATGCAGATACAACTGGGGTTTAACACATCATTTAAGTTCTTTTGGATAGTGTTTATTTTCATTTTAAATAAGTTTTTATTAAGTGAATTAATTGCATACAGAATATGAGAAAGAAAAACTTTTCTTTCATCTTCCAGCAACCTCCAGGATCCGAAGTGGAAGAACTGCTGGATGGCCAGTATCTATGTGTATTTCTTGTATGTCAAAAATGCAATTGAATGTTTGCCATGTATGTGTGCATTATGATCCACCCTGAGTGCCCTTCAGGGTGAGAAGGGCGGAATATTAATACTGTAAATAAATGAATTAAGGAGGCAGTCTGTAATCGCTTAGGAAAGAAGGCTGTGATCACTAAAAGTCAACATGGCTTTCTCAAAAACAAGTCATGCCAGACTAATCTTATCTCTTTTTTCGTTAGAGTTACAAGCTTGGTAGATGCGGGGAATGCTGTGGATGTAGCATATCTTGATTACAGTAAGACGTTTGACAAGGTCCCCCATGACCTTCCTACAAAAAACTAGTAAAATGTGGTCTAAATAATAACTACCCTTAGGTGGATTTGTAATTGGTTAAGCAACCGTACCCAAAGGGTTCTCCAATGGTTCCTCTTCAACCTGGAAAAATGAACTAACTATGGAATGCTGCAGGGTTTGATCCTGGACCCAGTACTGTTCAACAGCTTTATTAATTATTTGGATGAATGATTTGTTAATGATTTGAATGATTTGGATGAAGAGTTAGAGGGCAGGCAGAAAAGGTTTGCAGAAGACACCATATTGGGAGGGATAGCTAATACTCCAGAGGACAGGATTAGAATTCAAAATGACTTTAACAGACTGGAGAATTGGGCTAAAATGAATTTCATGAATGAATTTCAACAAGAAGAAATGGAAGCGAATTCACTTAAGCAGAAAAAATTGAAATGCATAGATACAAAATGGGTGATGCCTGGCTCGACAACATAGAATCATAGAATCATAGAGTTGGAAGAGACCTCATGGGCCATCCAGTCCAACCCCCTGCCAAGAAGCAGGATATTGCATTCAAAGCACCCCTGACAGATGGCCATCCAGCCTCTGTTTAAAAGCTTCCAAAGAAGGAGCCTCCACCACACTCCGGGGCAGAGAGTTCCACTGCTGAACAGCTCTCACAGTCAGGAAGTTCTTCCTAATGTTCACAGAACATGTGAAAAACATCTTGGAGTCTTTGTGGACAAATTAAACACAAGACACCAATGTGATATAGCATCTAGAAAAGCTAACACGATTTTGGGCTTCATCAAAAGGAGTATAGTGCCTAGATAAAGGACATCATGGTGCCCCTTTGTTCTGCTTTGGTCAGACCTCACCTGGAATATGGTATCCAGTTCAGGGCAAAGCAATTCAAGAGGGATTTTGACTCTAAGGCAGAAGGTGTCCAGAGGAGGGCAACTAAAATGATAAAAGATCTGGAGACCATCAATCCCTATGAGGAGCAGCTCAAAGAGCTGGGGATGTTTAGCCTGCAGAAGAGAAGGTTGAGAGGAGACATGATCACCATGTTGAAATATTTGAAAAGATGTCATAAGGAAAAGGGAGAAGTCTTGTTTTCTGCTGCCCTAGAAACTAAGACTCCATTAACTGTAACTTCTAACTGTAGGAAAGGGGATTCAATCTGAACATTAGGAAGAACTTTCTGACCATACAAGCTGTTCAACAGTGGAATTCTCTGCCTTGGATTGTAGTAAAGCTCCATCTCTGGAGGTTTTTAAACAGAGGCTGGATGACCATCTGTCAGGGATGCTTTGATTGTGCTTTTCCTGCATGGCAGAGGATTGGACTGGATGGCGCACGTGGTCTCTTCCAACTTTATTATTCTATGATTTTTGTGGGGTTGATTGACTGCTATTTTGCTGGAGGAACAGAGATGAGAGCTCCAGAAATGAGTGGACAGCAGTTTGCTCTGTGCCATGTCTTTGAATATGGTAATTCTGTAATCTGAGTTGTGTTTCACAGTTGGGTGAATTACACACTTTCAGCCTAAGAAAGCCCTTAGGGTCGCCATAAGTTGGAAACCATTTGAAGACACACAACAGCTCATTCTCTGCTGGAAAGTGACATTTCACATCATGACCTGACAAAATTACCTTTAACTCTTTGGGGGGCAGGGGAAAGGGAAGGAAAAAACTGCTTAGCAGTATGATTTACTTTTTCCCAAAGTATCCTTTCAATCTTGTTGTCCTCCTTCTTCAACGATAGCCAACGTTCGCACTGAAACAGGAACAGTTCATCTGTGTCCTCATTGAGGACTTCTACTTTCTCCAGGTACCAATCCGGCCTCGGGAAGGAGTTGTCGTGGCGGATCTTGATTTTATACACACTGCCAAGGTCCACGGCTTGGATCGTGAATATATCATCCTGGGGAGAAATTGAAGAGAAAGAGCTGGACTTTCCTTAAAGGTGTATTTAGGCAAGCAGAACATGTTGAATGGACTCCTATTGATGTCTTATACACACCACTGAAATAATTGGACATTTTTGTGTGATAAAGCGCTTAGCCAAAATCTTGGACAATCTATATACATAAAAATGTAATGTTCGTTTGTGGGATTAACAGAACTCAAAAACCAATTGGGCCAATTGACACCAAATTTGGACAGCATACACCTAACAACCCAATGTATGTACTTCACTCAAAATTTTTGATTTTGTCATTTGCGAGTTGTAGTTTCTGGGATTTATAGTTCACCTACAATCAAAGAGCATTATGAACTCCACCAGTTATGGCATTGAACAAAACGTGGCACACAGAACTCCCATGGCCAACAGAAAACACTAGAAGGGTTTGGTGGGCATTAACCTTGAGTTTGGGAGTTGTAATTCACCTACATCCAGAGAGCACCGTGGACTCAAACAATGATGGATCTGGACCGAACTTGGTACAAATATTCCATATGCCCAAATATGAACACAGATGGAGTTTGGGGAAAATAGACCTTGACATTTGGGATTTGTAGTTACTGGGATTTATAGTTCACCTACAATCAAAGAGCATTCTGAATCCCACAAACGACAGAATTGGGCCAAACTTCCCACACAGAATCCCCATGACCAACAGAAAATACTTAAGGCCATCCAGTCCAACTCTCTTCACCAGGGCAAGAAAATGTAATCAGAGCCCTCCTGACAAAGAGCCATCCAGCCATAGATAGATAGATAGATAGATAGATAGATACACAGATATAATACAGATTTGAAAAGAACCCCTAAAGAAGGACAATGATATGTTGCATGATCAAGAGTAGGCAAACCAGACAATCTCCACATCAACACTGACAAGGAAACAGCAAGAAATACTGTTTCTCCACAAGCAGAAATTAATTACTTATATTAGAAACCAACACTTTCTCATTACTTTATTTTCCAGATCACCAGACTGGGCCACAGCAATGCCTGGCAGGGAAGTCATGCTACCCCTCTATTCTGCTCTGGTTAGACCACACCTGGAATATTGTGTCCAATTCTGGGCACCACAATTCAAGAGAGATATTGACAAGCTGGAATGTGTCTAGAGGAGGGCAAACAAAATGATCAAGGGTCTGGAGAACAAGCCCTATGAGGAGCGGCTTAAGGAGCTGGGCATGTTTAGCCTGAAGAAGAGAAGGCTGAGAGGAGATATGATAGCCATATATAAATATGTGAGAGGAAGCCACAGGGAGGAGGGAGCAAGCTTGTTTTCTGCTTCCCTGGAGACTAGGACACGGAACAATGGCTTCAAACTACAAGAAAGGAGATTCCACCTGAACATGAGGAAGAACTTTCTGACTGTGAGAGCCGTTCAGCAGTGGAACTCTCTGCCCCGGAGTGTGGTGGAGGCTCCTTCTTTGGAAGCTTTTAAACAGAGGCTGGATGGCCATCTGTCAGGGGTGATTTGAATGCAATATTCCTGCTTCTTGGCAGGGGGTTAGACTGGATGGCCCATGAGGTCTCTTCCAACTCTTTGATTCTATGATTCTATGAGTCTATAAAGCTGAACAATGCCTTCTGTATGATTTCACTTTCTTTTGTCCCATTCTTGAGCATGGGAGAGAAGGAAAGAGTTGCATTAATTTCTGGAAATCCTCACTTCCCTCCAACCCAAATGTCCCTTTCTTGCTTTCTCTATTCTTATAACATCATCTTGAACCATCTTCTTTCGTATATATTATTAATTAGAATTAACTTTAACATGCCATTTGGTAAAGAAAATAAACCGAGAGTCATATTGATGTTTGCATGTACTGTGACTGGAATCTGCAATTTCTCATTATGCAAAACACTGTAATTGAGACATAAACAAAGAGCAAGAAAATGTTTTCACATACCAAAAGAAATATACATTGGATAAAAAAATCCCGTAGGCCCTGAGATATGTGAAATTTGTTGGGTCTTCTGCATAGTTTTACTTTTAACTAATGACAACTTAACTAATAATATGACTCTGGAATTGGTGGCCTTAAAGCACATCAAGCCTGAACTCTTCCTAGAAGCAAAAACAACCAAACTGAGGCTGTTATGCTTTGGACACCTCATGAGCCAATCTGTCTCATTGGACAAGACAAATACGCTTGGTAAAGCTGAAGGCAGTAGGAAAAAAGAAAGGCTACATTGCAGATGGATAGATTCAGTCAAGGAAGCCAATTCCTCAAGTTTGCAAATTTGAGCAGGGATTTTGATAACAATGTCTTGGAGATATTGCATTCACAAAGTCACCATAAGCCTAAGCCAGTGGTTCTCAACCTTCCTAATGCCGTGACCCCTTAATGCAGTTCCTCATGTTGTGGTGACCCCCAACCACTAAATTATTTTCATTGCTATTCATAACTGTAATTTTGCTACTGTTATGAATCGTAATGTAAATATCTGACATGCAGGATGTATTTTCATTCAGCAGACCAAATTTGGCACAAATACCCAATATGCTCAAATTTGAATACTGGTGGGGTTGGGGGGATTGATTTTGTCATTTGGGAGTTGTAGTTGCTGGGATTTATAGTTCGCCTATAATCAAAGTGCATTCTGAACCCCACCAATGATGGAATTGAACCAAATTTAGCACATGGAACTCCCATGACCAACAGAAAATACTGGAAGTATTTGGTGGGCACTGACATTGAGTTTTGGAGTTATAGTTCATCTACATCCAGAGAGCACTGTGGACTCAAACAATGTGGATCTGGACCAAACTCTTCATGAATACTCACTATGCGCAAATGTGAACACTGGTGGAGTTTGAGGAAAATAGACCTTAACATTTGGAAGTTGTAGTTGCTAGGATTTATAGTTCACCTGCAATCAAAGAGCATTCGGAACCCCAACAATGATAGAATTGGGCCAAACTTCCCACACAGAACCCCCATGACCAACAGAAAATACTGTATGCATTTTTACAAATGCAGTAAAAAAGCCCTTCTTTTAAAGAAATTATAATGATGAAGTTATTATAAACTTATGTGAGTTGAACAATCTTGACTGTAAATATTTCAGTAAATAATCACCACTTTTCTCTCCTTCACAAGAATATCAGTACCTGTCCTCTTTCAAATTTGTTGGTAAAAGTTTCAGAGCTGCTGAGTTGCCTCTCCCCTGTGTCTCCCAGGTCTCCATATAGGATGATGAACACACTGGCATCTGTCCCAGCTCCAAAAATATCACCAGTATAAACGGTAATCCTGTATGTTTGAACTGTGGGGGGGGGGGGGGGGGGGAGAGAATGTTATCATCATTAGCAGCAGCAAATCAATTTTACAGAACTTCCTATATCTATGAATTTAGTACAATGCCTGTAACTACTCAGGATAAATTCCCAAACTTCACATGAAAATGCAAAACCATAATAATATGTAGTTGAAATGAAGGACTTATGGCCCAACACTACCACAGAGGCACACAGGAGGACTTAGAAAATGGCAACTATATCTCATTTTAGTATCAGATGAGATGGGAAATTGGCAATAATAGAATTCTCCTACCAGTTTTATTGAAGTCAATGCCTTATCGAGACTTCCCAGCCTCTTATCTGGGACTTTTAGACTCTTACTGGACCATGCCCCATTTCTCTAAGCAACACCTCTCATCATCCCACCCTGGTCATTCCACAGAAATATAAACCCACTTTCCTAGTTCCAACAGACCTCACTGCCTCTGAGGAGCTTGTCATAGATGCAGGCGAAACGTCAGGAGAGAATGCCTCTAGACCATGGCCATATAGCCCGAAAAAACTTACAACAACCCACCTCTCATCAGTTCCATTATATTATAGATATTATTTCCTTAATTCCCAACCATATAGGAAACATTGCACAATTGTCGGTGGAGAATGTTTGGATGTACACCTGTCCCCATATTGAATTCTGAATAAAGACAAGCTGTAATTTTTCCTATGTTTGGAATATGGATTCCAGCAGAGGTCTAAAGATATAATTTGGACTTCAGCAGGACAATATTCCCAAACCTTGGTTTAAACTAATGAACAATTATAATTTCCTGCAATTGCTTCTGGATGTCTAACAACAACACCACCACCAACAACAAAAACTTTATTTATATTTCACTGTATCTCCCCTGGGGGACTCAAGGCGGATTCCAACAAACAAAAAGGCAAACATTCAATGCCTCAATGACAATATGTGCAAATATAATAACCCGGTATTTATTTATAATTTATTTATTTCGAACATTTATACCCCTGTCCTCCTCAACCTCCAAAGAGGGACTCAGGGCTTCCAACAGGCAACTATTAGATGTTGACACAATATAATAACATAACATAAAATACAATTAGCATACATTAAAACAGTTAAAATATACATTAAAACAGTTTACCAGTTCAAATCGTCATCCAAATCAGTCCACTGCGGTCCACTAAAACCTTATCTTCACTAGTAAATCAGTCTATTATGCAAACATTTGATCCCACAGCCAGGATTTGAGTTTCTTCTGGAAGATCAGGAGGGATGGGGCAGATCAAATCTCATAAGGGAGGGAGATCCATAGCCGAGGGGCCACCACAAAGAAGGCCCTGTCTCTCGTCCCCACCAAATGCGACTGCGATGGTGGTGGGATCAAGATCAGGGCCTCACTGGATGATCTTAAGGTTCTTGGTGGTTTGTAGAGGGAGATACGTTCAGACAGGTAAACTGGTCCAGAAACATTTAGGACTTTATAGGTTAAGACCAGTACTTTGAATTGTGCCCGGAAGCTAATAGGCAGCCTGTGGAGCTGGTGTAACAGGGGAGTTGTGCCCCACTCCCGTGAGCAACCTGGCCACCAAGTGTTGGACTAGCTGAAGCTTCCAAGCAGTCTTCAGAGGCAACCCCACGTAGAGTGCATTGCAATAATCTATTTGGGATGTAACCAGAGTGTGGACTACTGTGGCCAAGTCAGACCTCCCAAAATATGGGTGCAGCTGGTGCACATGTTTTAATTGTGCAAAAGGTCCCCTGGTCACTATCAAGACCTGGGGTTCCAGGCTGAGCAATGAGTCCAGGATCACTCCCAAGCTGCGTTCCTGCGCCTTCAGGGCAGTATAAGCCTACATAAAAGACATCTTAAACAGAACAGATATAACTTAACTAAAATGTAATCTATCAAAAATTATAACTAACATAAAAAATGAACATAAAACATCTGGATTAATTTACAAAAGCACCACAAAGGTTCACAGATGTTGTTCTGGAACAGCTGTTCCAGGAGCTCCAAATTTGTTTGCTTTGCACTGAGTGTTTGTTTATAGTTCTAAGTTTCAGGGACTCTGCAGATAGGTGGCTTCTTTTGGCTGCATTCATAGGGCAAGCCACCTGTCAATTATCATTGGGTTCCCTGGTTCCACCCCCTTTCTAGGCTTTGGAGGGAAGGGAGCCTTTTCCAGTCAGTCACAGCAAGGTAGCCAATGTATAGGATGTGTTTACTTCCCCTGTACAAAGGCTTCAACCTTTAAGAGCTCCAGGGAAAGAACGCCAGGGAAGCATTCCCACAGCTTTAAGGGTCTCCTAAGAACTCCAGGGATTCCTTCCTACAGCCTTGGGAGTTTCCAGGAAGACAGCCTTAAACTCTAAAGAACATCCATTGCCTGTCTGGTAGGTCCTCTCAGTGTTTCGAGAAGCAGTTCGGCCTGGCAGAGGAGCCCACACCAGTGAGGGTTGGATTTTAGTTAGCCTTGGGAGAAGTTAAAAAGGGGAATTTTCCTTTGAAGAAAGTTATTGAAGACAGTGCCTGTTCCCTGTGGACAAATTTGAGAGATCTGATACTTTACCAAGAAAGCTTTACAATTCCTGTTTGATTCATTAATAAAAGACTTTGTTGTACCTTTTAAGCCATTTGAAGATTCCTTTTGTAAAGGAAGCCTCTGAGAACTTTTCCTAGGGCCCCTGGCTTCCCTCTGGGTAAAGGTTACACATCCTATATCTAAAGTCAACTAGCTATAGGCCCAGTGGCGACAGAACAGATGTATGCACTGATCGTATGACCAATGATGCTACATGGGCTAATGTGGTCTAACATGAATTCATTTATACTTTTCAATCAGCAGTCTTAATGTCAGTCTCTCTCCCAATCCCCCAAGGGCCCCGAAGGTGATGGATACCTAAAATCATATCAATGGGTCATATCAAAATCCATAATGTTGGCCCCAAATCCTGCCCTCGACTTGTATGCAAGGTCACCATGAGTATATATTGTAAGTTGTCTCTCAGATATTTTGGCCCTGAGTTGTTTTTAGGGCAATGTAAGTCAGCACCATCACCTCAAAATCAAAATGCAAATATTTCATTCTCTCATGCAATAATGAATGATTTCAGAAGCTTCATCCTTACAAGATGACTCTTTTTTCGGCCAATTTTTTAATGGGAGGGTGGTGGTGGTGGTGGTGGATTTTTATATTATTTTGCAAAAAATATAGCTAGTCCTAATATTTTATAATTATACAAAAATTTGTACAAAACACACTGTTCCCTTCTCAAAAGGCTTTTGTACAAAAGGTTTGGGCCCAGATGTTTGTTCCCCAAACCCAATTTCACAAATTGTGGAACTTTCTCAGTGGGTTCATTGAGGCATTATTAATATTCTTTACATCTCAGATTTTGAAAGAACATGATTTGGAATTGAGAGGGGTTTATTTTGAGGGTTTTTTAAGACAGAAAAGCAGATATAGCTTGAGGAAATGAGGGGAATGTCTCCAGCCCTATATTTCAATGCTCTCCCAATGAGAGTGACATTCCTCCAATGTGTTGCAATGAAACAAACCCCCCCCCCCCCCATAATTAATGCAAAATAGTTAATATAATCTGGGTCTCATTGGCTTGGAAACAAGTAAGATGACATGCAAAATAAAATTAATTGTTAGAAATGAGTTTGGGGAGATGTGGAAAATCACCAAGGAAGAGGATGCTGTCATGAAAGCTCATCGTTCAATATTTGATTTAGGTTTAACACAGCATGTAAGCACTTATTTACACTATCATTTATGCTGAGATGATAAACCTCAAAGCTCGATACGTTCATTTATTTATTTCCATGATCAAGGGGTTAATCCGAGACCAAGGGCTTTTGCACATTTGCAACAACACCTTCTGATTTATTCTAAGGTCTAATCTCCAAATGCATAAGATTTAAGTAGTAATGAATGAACGGGCAGATTCTTAAAACTGAATGGATTATATTATTTTTAGTGGGGTAATCACACCAATACAAGAAACCCCTTTAACGTAGTACATGCAATTGAACTAACGGTACATCCCTCTTCAGTCTTCTCCTACATCTACCTCCACCTCATTCCTCTATTATTATTATTATTATTATTATTATTATTATTATTATTATTATTATTTTAGACCACATGCCATTTGGGGCTAAGAACTCTCTCCTCATTCCTCATCAAGCATCATGCCCATTGATGCCAAAGCTCTGAATAAATCCATAAATAAGTGATATGAATTCAGCCCAGGAGAACATGAATCATGCTAGAATATTTCTCCATAAACAAACAGGACTCTGTTGTGTTAGTGGGGAAGATACATAAAAAAATCCATCTCACCTGCAATACAAGCCACAGTTCTTCCTCTGGAGTCTATCACCTTCTTTGGCAAAATGTGTCAAAATGCCTGGATATACACTGAGTGAATATGCAGCTACAGCTATTCCTAAATCCTTGATGAATATAGTGGGCCCTTAATATCTGCTGGGGTTTGGTTGATGTCAAAATCCATGGATGCTCAAGTTCCATTACACTATGTAACAACATGTGAAAAAAATCTGCTCCTGGTTTGAAAGTATTATTTCTGTTTAATTGTGTGGTACTTACTGCGCTCCATGCAGTCATGCCGGCCACATGACCTTGGAGGTGTCTACGGACAATGCTGGCTCTTCGGCTTAGAAATGGAGATGAGCACCACACCCCAGAGTCAGACATGACTGGACTTAATGTCAGGGGACTACCTTTACCTTTTACTTACTTTGAAAGAAGTTGTTATTCTCCAAAAATTCCATTTTTGTGGCTGCCACAAACTATGTTGAATTGGTTGAGACTCGATGAGATATTCATTGAAAAACTATAGCAAAATATGCTGCAGGATATCTCCCCACAAAAACAAAGTTTTGTAGTTTAATACATTTTTTTCTATATTTTTATGATAGAACCAATTAAGAAATGATTTATAACCCAGGAACAAAAATAGTGTAATCTTAATATGGTTTCCTTTATATAAAATGGCAAAATCAAGGTTGGATGTGTAAAAAAATATTTTCAAGCTGTGGAATGGCGGAATCCATGGAGGCAGAATATGTAGAAATTGGGAGCCTATCCTATATATGATCTCAGGGATAAATTAGATAACACAATGCTCTTTCATGTGGTGAAACATGTCTATCATCACACATGACTGTCCTCACAGGCTTTGGTCCTTCAGGTGCTTTGGACTTCAGCTCCCAGAAGGTCCAACCTACTTGGTTAACAGTCAGGAATTCTGGAACCTGTAGTCCAAAACATATGGAGTAGGCATGGGCAAACTTTGCCCCTCCTCCAGATGTTATGGACTTCAACTTCCACAATTCCTAACAGATGGTAGGCTGATAGGAATTGTGGGAGTTGAAGTCCAAAATCTCCAAGGCTGAAGTTTGTCCATGCTTGGTTTAGAGGATCAAAGTTTAATAACAACTGATCCAGACCTTTGTTAGGCTTAATCAGATCTGTGATGAGACATTTGTGATGAGTTGTCTAAGGCTTTCATGACCAGAATCAATGGGTTGCTGTAAGTTTTTCAGGCTGTATGGCCATGTTCCAGAAGCATCTATGGCAGGCATCCTCAGAGGTTGTGAGTTCTTTTGTGATGGGCTTTTACTCACTTTCTAGTGAATCTTCAATTTCTTCTTCGATCTGCTTAAGTGTGCCATCTTTCATGAGTTTTTCCGTAAAGACTTTGGATGGAACCAGCTCTCGCATGATCTCACCGTCATCTTCTGAGCCTGCCAGCCACCTCTCACATGGAAACGTGGTCTTCTCGGAACCCTAATATGACCACAGTAAAAGGCAACCACCTTAATAATCAAAAGCTAGAAGAAAATACCAACCAATATATTTTATTTATTTCTAAAAGATGTAACCCTTTCCTTGTTTCTCCCACAGTTCTCTCTTGCCCTTAATAAAGGACAGGGCAACCAAAATGGAAGTCAAGACCTATGAGCTCAGGGAGCTGGGTATGTTCAGCCTGGAGAGAAAAGTAAATATTTGAAAGGATGTCATATTTAGAAAGAATATGTTTGAATTGTCTCCTGTTGTTTGAATCCATGGAGCAATGGATTCAAACAACAGGAGAAGAAATTCCACTGAAATATTAGGAAGCACTTCCTGATGGAAAGAGCTGTTCAATAGTGAAATATGCTGCCTGGAATGTGAGCAATCTCTTTCTGGGGATTTTTGAGAAGAGGCTAGATAGTCATCTGTTGGGAATACATTGCAGCATAGGGATGGACTACATGGCCCTTGAGGGTCTCTTCCTCCTATATGATTTTATGAAACTCAGTCACAGATCTTCTATCTAAAGATAAGATCTGGCCTTCAAACCATCCTGCAAAATCCTCCTCACTTCTCCTGATCAGAAATCAAACCAGATCAGAATACGTTGTTGACTGGTAGAACAGGGGAAGAGAAAGTGTGACTCATTGGACATATGTAATCCTCAAAACCATTTCTGAAACCACCTATCCTGAAAAAAAATGTCTTGGAGGAACTTCTTTTAGTCTCTAAGGAATGGTGGGCAATTTCACCATATTTTCAGGCAAAATAAATGTGACTTACTACCTGCTTTTAAAAAATAGCTTAAAAAACCAAAACTAAAACGGCATAGCTAGTTTCCATGTCTCTAGATTACTACTTCTTAAACTATGGGTCCCAGCCCCAAATGAGGTTCCCTGAGCTCAAGTTCAGGGTCATGAAAATTTGGCAACAGTAAAATGTTGCTGAACTCCACGCATTTACACAAAACTGTTAGCACCGGTGGACTCTGCAGAAAATACAGAATGGGAAACATTTAAGGTCATATCAATCAGCGGGTGGGAAGTGTAGCCTTCTGAGGTCCAGGGTGTGGTAGACCATAGGTAGTTGTGTGTATTTGAACTCCCACCATGAAATAAAGACACAAGACACAAGAAAATGGATCTAAAGGGTCATTTTCTGACCTATGTATTGAAAGAACTTGTAATAACCTGTAAAGGGAAAATCTGTAGACACATACAATGAAACTCGTGGCCTAATGCCCACCCAGTTAGCCTAGTCCCTGGGCCAGGTGTCACTCCCTCTGACCACCTCCAAGACATGCATGCACTAAGGATCCAGAAGCCCAACCAAAATTGGCTGCACCTATAGGCCGATCATAGTTGGAAGGCCATCCTGAGGGTGCTCTCTCCCAAACTGCAGGGTGAGAACCCCCAATCCAGCCCCAAGGATAGCTCCCATTTTATGAAACTTATAGGGACTTTTGTGGGAGTCCACCCTTCACCCCTTAAGGCGGGGGTGCCATGGTGGCAACAATGACTAACTTTTATCATGCTTTGGAATTTTATTAATGACTCAAGGAAACCTATTTAAATGATGTCATCCCAAACTCAATTTCTACACCCATCTGAAATTCCTACCCGGCCCTATACTCACAACTGTTCATAGGGCGGGAGGGTGGGTCACGCTGGCACGAGGCAAACTGAAAGAGTGGAACAGAGCAGCTCCTCCAACTTGTTGCTCTACTCCCTCACATGAATGGACCAGCAAACTCATGCCAAGTCTGGCTCTTTCATGGCATCATTCAAACTGCCCCCCTCCCCCCCCCACACCCCCTAAGCTTTGCTTGGGTGCGGGTGCAGTGTATGTGTCTGTGTTTGTATGCACCTTATAGTCAACATGGTGCCCTCCTGAATTTCAAATTATTTTCTTAGGCAAGGGATAATCAGAGGTCCTTTTGCCAATTGTTTCTTCTGAAATGTACCCTATGGCACCTAGTATTTGTCGGCAGTCTTCTATCCAAGAACTAACCAAAACTGCTCCAACTTAGCTTCCACGAACAAGCAGGATCTGGTGTCTTTAGGTCTAGACAGTGACAATAAAGCAATAAAGAATAGGCTCGATTCCTTCATAACATCTTTCTGAGCAACAAGGACTCCTTTCTGCTCTGGATTGTTCCAATCTATTCTTGCTGTTCCAGGCAGATCTTCAGCCTCTATACAGAAAAGATGCTTGTAACAGGCTCTCTTAGAAACACACAAAATTGCCTCCTATCAAGCCAAGCCATTCAATGGCTCTGCTTAGAGACCAGCTTGTTAAAATGATATCTGGTAGCCATTTTTCCATGTAATTCCAGAAGTGAGAGAAATTTTGATTGGACAGTAAGACTCATACAACAAATTACCTATCCTCTATTTGTCACAGTTTGGCACAGACTGTTCCCCAATTAAACCTCTATCATCACTGTTGCAACTCTCCCACTATTTCATCTCCTTCAGTTTTCCACTTTTGTTCTCAGCTTATTTTCAATGGCTGCAAAATGAGCAAAGTGGAAAAATAGTTTGCATTCAACTAACTTAGGAGAAGGGAGAGGGGAGCAGGATATAGCTACTTGCTCTTCCAAGTAGCATCAGGCAAAAGCAAACTGCTGCACTGAGTTTGTATATCCTTCCTCATTAATAACCTTTGCCATTTTGACAGCACTCCGATGTGGCTTGGCTTGGTCTCCATTTCCATCTCCAAAAAGTTGGAGATTATACAACTATGTAGAGGCAATATCACCATGTGGTGCCTGGTTTTCTTGAATATTTTCAATTCTCTCAAGTCACTATAAAGATTTATTTTATTGTGTTGTTGAAGGCTTTCATGGCCAGAATCACTGGGTTGCTGTAAGTTTTTCGGGCTGCATGGCCATGTTCCAGAAGTATTCTGTCCTGATGTTTCATCTGCCTCTATGGCAGGCATCCTCTGAGGTTGTGAGGTCTATTGGAAACTAGGAAAATTGGGTTTTTATATCTGTGGAATGTCCAGGGTGAGAGAAAGAACTCTTGTCTGTTTGAGGTAGTGTGAATGTTTCAATTGGCCGCCTTGATTAGTATTTAATGGCCTAGCAGTTTTCAAGGTGTGGCTTCTTACTGCCTGGGGGCATCCTTTGTTGAGAGGTGATTAGCTGTCCCTGATTGTTTCTTGTCTGGAGCTCCCCTGTCTTTATTTACTGTTATGATTTTAGAGTTTTTTTTTTAAATACTGGTAGCCAGATTTTGTTCATTTTCATGGTTTCCTCCTTTCTGTTGAAATTCTCCACATGCTTGTGGATTTCAATGGCTTCTCTGTGTAGTCTGACATGGTGGTTGTGAGAGTGGTCCAGCATTTCTGTGTTCTCAAATAATATGCTGTGTCCAGGTTGGTTCATCAGGTGCTCTGCTATGGCTGACTTTTCTGGTTGAAGTAGTCTGCAGTGCCTTTCATGTTCCTTGATTCGTGTCTGGGCAATGCTGCGTTCGTTGGTCATTATGTAGACTTGTCCACAGTTGCATGGTATAGGGTAGACTCCTGCAGAAGTTAGAGGATCCCTCTTGTCCTTTGCTGAATGTAGCATTTGTTGGATTTTCCAAGTAGGACTGTAGATAGTTTGTATGTTGTGTTTCTTCATTAGCTTCCCTGTGCGGTCAGTGGTTCCCTTGATGTATGGTAAGAGGTGAGAGGATCCCTCTCGTCCTTTGCTGAATGTAGCATTTATTGAATTTTTATGGGTCTGTAAATTGTTTGTATGTTGTGTTTCCTCATCAGCTTCCCAGTTTATTTTATGTACAGCAGCTTGTTTTTTAAGTAAATAAATAATTGTATTAAAAACAGTAATCTGCAACAATTTAAAAGACCTCTAATCACCAGAGAGAGGGCTAACCTCATAAGGGGGTGAGAATGGTAATTTGGGAACAGCCACCAAGAAGACTTTCTCCTCAAACAAAAGTTCCTGAGATGGTGACAGAATTGAGACAAAGCCTTCTCCAACTGTCTTTGGTGTGTTCCTAAGTGAAGACAACAACAGTATTTTAGATAGCCTGACCACAAGCTATACAAAGGCAATTTGAACTGAGTCCAGAAATGAACTGGTACTTGCTGAAGCTGTTTCAATGAGGGAATAATATGTTCCCTGTAATCATCCCCAATCCTCAGTCTAAATCCAGCATTTTTTATAGTTTCTATACTATTCCCAAAAGAAGACATCATTGTACATAAAATTAGTGCTTGCTGTCCTCTTCCCTCCTCCCTCTTTTCCTCTTCTTTTCTGTGTCTTTTTGTGCCATAAACCTTTAAGGCTCACAGCTACTGAGGGAAATTCTGGGCAGATAGTTCCCTTGTAGGGAGAGCTATCCTTTTGGCAACGGGTTGCCAGTAATGAAAGCCTTTAAGAAAGACTGAGAACTTTCCATGGCTTTGCCCCCTTCTCACTTCCACCAGACAGCACCTGAATCCATGCCATGGAGTAGGGATGCACATAGTGTGGGGGCCTTGTGGCTATATATGTCTCCAGATGGTATTTGTTATTTTCTCTGATTGTAGTCCATCCCCAGACTTCCCTTTTTATAGACCAAATGTGTGAATTGTTTCTTCTGGAAGTCTCGAAAATAGACAATTCACCATCTAAATCAGTGTTTCTCAACCTGGGGGTCAGGGCCCCTGGAGGGGTCACGAGGGGGTGTCAGAGGGGTCACCAAAGACCACCAGAAAACACAGTATTTTCTGTTGGTCATGGAGGTTCTGTGTGGGAAGTTTGGCCCAATTCAATCGTTGGAAGGGTTTAGAATGCTCATTGATTGTAGGTGAACTATAAATTCCAGATAATACAACTCCTAAATGTCAAGGTCTATTTCCCGCAAACTCCACCAATTCGCATATTGAGAATTCATGCCAAGTTTGGTACAGATCCATCATTGTTTGAGTCCAAAGTGCTCTCTGCATGTAGGTGAACTACAACTCCCAAACTCAAGGTCAATGCCCACCAAACCCTTCCA